AAACTCGATACTCGTTAGATTGCTTGTAGTGTAGATAGTATAGGTTGGTCTTCATTTAAATAAACTTGTTTCAAACGATAAAGCAGATCCAAGCCGAACTTGGATTCCATCTTTCGATCGAGAAGAAATATTCGTTAGATTTCTGTGTACATGATACCCTGTGTAAATAAATTTCATATACGAACAACATTCTAATTAAGCATATAGGAATTTAACGAAACCAGGAAATAGAATAGATAATAGAAAATGATAAAAATTGTAGGTTTTTCGTGGTTAGATTGCTATTTTAAAATACTGTGCGATGCCTCGGGAGACTAACAACTCCGTGTGCTCCGCTACTCACGCATTTCCTCTTCTTAATTTTTTATTCATCGTTTAATTTCTACTTATAATGACGGCCAATCGAAACCGAAGGATTGCATCTAATAAAAACGACGGAATCTGCCAATTAGCTCATTGTACCGGTATCCCACCTAACCATTTATTTGCTGAACAAGCGTACCATTGTTGAGTTACTCAAACTATTCCTAATTCTTTTAAATTATCTATCAATTTATAATTTCTACAAAGTTATTCTTCATTCTACATTTCGACTCTTCGAAAATAGAGTGAAAATACAATAATTTTTGCCTCACTCGCTAAATCATTCGAAGAACTGTTTTATTCAAACGATACGTGTTCATAGTGAGCACCGGAGCACATTGGAATATGGTACCCGGTGATAAATGTTGCACTTACTGGGACATGTCTGTGTCTTGTCAATAACGTGGATCATCGGCACGTGGCAAATTACCATTAACATGTTTGCACAGGTCCGCTCGGAGAGAATGGAACGTGGGACGAAACCAAGTATCCGACTAGAAATTAGTTCACCTAGTCACAAATAACATTGGCGCCTTTTTAGTCAGAGATGGGTAAAATTTAAATGTTTAATTTCATAATAAAAATTCTACCATTTACCTAACGTGTACTGAATGAGTACTTAACATTTTAATCGTTCTACGAACATTCGATCTAAATAAGAATTTTGTCCATCTCTGTTTTTAATTGAGATTCTCGATTCTTCCCGATCCATTGTTTTTAGAATGGAACGATACTCGCATCGTAGTATTGTACTTTAACTAACATTAACCAGTGGAAGTCTAGAGAACAGGCATGGAAAGTGTACAGATTTTGCAAACTAACGAAGAGCTCAAACGCTTAGAAATTATTTTATAATCGCGTTACTTTTTTTTCCGACAACTGTTCTCTTGGTTTCCCGTACCCAGTAGATCTCTCGTGGCCCAAGAGTTTCAAAATTTGGGTTAGAAGTTCAGTTTATATTTTTCAATTCGTGGTAGCACGTGCACAGGTTACGGGTCACGAAAGAATCGAGACTCAGAAGGCATCCTGAAACCATGTCCCGTCTTCCGCTCACCTGCCTGAATACGAACGAGGGAGAATTGTCATGCAGGTTTACGTTTTACGTTCTTATGTGTCTAATTCTGATAATGCACTGCTAGGGTATGACAGCAGTGGAGCACCACTAACAAGTTACTGTCGTCATCAGTCGATGTAACTAAACGGTGGCTTGTACGAGTAATACATATGTGTTTAAACAAAATTATTGTCACATAACTGTGCCCTGTTCGTGTAAACAAACAGTTTATCGAAGAAAAGAAGCGTAAACTAAATAAATAAACGAACTTCACTTTGCTCTCCGATGGCCGCAGTGGAAGAAGTATCAATGACGCGATGAATGACTTCAAAAGTTCATAAAGCTTCGTTAAAACTATTGTTGCACACGAACAGGACGACTATTGTTATTTCATTGGGTATCATCCAGTGCAGGGTATTTCGCGAACGAAAGCGAAGCCGAGAACTTTGAAGAGTCGTTTAACGTGCTGTACAAACATCCTATGCATGTTGATGGAATGAAATAACAATGAAATATGTACTGGAATCAATAACCATACGTGAATCATTTCATATGTTACCTCCCTCTTTCTCTATCAGTTTCTAAATTTGTCGCACGCTCGGACTCATTCGTCAACGTTTGCTAACAATTGACCCACGTCCCATAGGTACACATTACGAAGGAGTACCTACAACTCGAGCCAATCGGTCTAGTCTTCGTGTTCTTCTTCGCTCTGATATTGGTTATTCAATTCACCGCGATGTTGTTTCATCGATTTGGCACGTTCGCCCATATCCTGGCCAGCACCAGCTTGGATTGGTACTGCTGCAAGAAGGTATGAAAAATGTAGTCTTCCATTAACTCTTTCCACTCCTATGTCGAGTGTGACTCGACATCATTTTTTTTTTTTTATCTCGGGAGCTCCTTAGTTGCGTAATTACCGAGTAATCGATTACGAAAGCAAACTTCATCGTTACTTGTCCTATTTGTTGCATCAGACCAAGGATTTGTCAGAGGAAGCCCTGCTTTCGAAACACGCCGTGGAAATAGTTAGGGATTTGCAGAGATTAGACGGAATGGAGGGCGATTACGAGGAGGGCAGCGGCAGCGGCCCTGGAAGGAGAAAAACTATAAGAAACCTCGAAAAGAGCCGAAGGAAAACGCAGGCAATCAATACGCTCGATGTCGCGTTCAGGCAGAGATTCTTCAGCATGTCCGAGGGCAACGGTACGTAATAAAGCTTTGTTCACTGCTCGTTCGCGCAAACTGACAGTCGAAAGGGTGCAATGTAGGGGAAGACATTTGATCTAGGCGAAAGAATATCTCCTTTTCAACGCGTTCATCGCCGACATCCGACGATCTTTGGCAACCTTTCATGTCACGAGCCAGGATACTCGAGATAAACTCTTTTCGTTTTTTAGAAAGAGTATCTCTTTGATAAATTTCACTTTTTCAATGAAACAGACCTTATTCCTCGAACTTTTAAACGCAGGTTTGCCGAGGAACATGTCGACGAGACGTTCCGCGAAGGCTTTCAAGGCTTTCGAGGGCCGCAGGAACAGCATCATAGCGATGAGACGAAAGTCGCAGATGCAGACTCTAGGAGCGAATAATATTTACGGAGTGGCGGGCAATCCTCTTGGAATTCAAGGACGTCCTTCGAGAAGTAGTCAGATATCCGTCAAGGATGTCTTTGAGGGACACGGGGGCCATGTGAATGTCGCGTATCAGCAGGATGAGAATACTGGAAGCAGCCTCAGACTTCACAATCTTGGTCAGAGTACGTGGAGGGAAGCCAACACTAACATCTGATCGGATAGCGTGTAACAACGTATGAGTTCTAGTAAGTTTCGTCTACTTTTCCTTACTATAACTTCAGTATTGTCGATTAATTAACGAGGTTTTCTCGATGAAAATGAGCATCTTTAAGTATCGTGAAACCAATGAAGCTTCACCTTTGAGCCCCCAGCATAGATAGGCTTCCAGGAGCTTCTTATAACTTTTCGAAACCGTAGAATTTTAAACGTAAAGAGAACAAAAACTAGCATTCATTTATGTTATCTTTAATCAAGAGTATAATCTACATCGGATATTATTTTCATTATCAAAACTAATCCAATCCAAACAAGTTTGCAAACCGACTTAAAATTTCTACCTGAAGTTACTCAGCTTCCAAAGAGTATTAAAAACGAATGCAATCTGGTACTGCAGCGTTTGAAAATATCTTTCACCTGCTTGTGATGTAAAATGTCTACTTACATTTATTCAGATTTTTATGGATACCAAAGGCGAGCGCAGCTGACACCGCTGCTTTGGCAAATATTTTCTGTCGCCATTTTATTATTCGTCAGCTTTGGCGAACACCTTTTCTATCGATTAAAGCTGACAAATAGAAATGTGATTTTTTTTCTTAGTTTAAAGTGCGATGAAATCATTAGGAATGTACATTTCTAGTATATAAAATTGACGCAGATTTCGATAAATTAAGGACGTGTAATTTTTCAGCAGAAGAGCGACGTTGGCCACCTTCCTCGTGCGATGACACCCGGAAGACTACGCGACTAATGGTCGCAGCTGGCCTAGTTACGCTAAGAATAGTGGAATCGATGGATTCCATCTAAATTTCGTCACGTATTCCAGCGCTTCCTATAGCAGTTATTCGTTAAACCGATGTATGTTGTGAGAGTGGTTAGAAAAATACGAAAAAGACTGCCTTCGCGTAGAATAATTTATTGTGGAATGAATGGAATAGTTCCGCCTTTAAACTCTTTTTCTTTTCTTTTTTAAGTACTCTTTCCTAAACGATAATAATAATTATTACACTACTACCAATAATAATAGCAACAACGAAAAGAGAAGTTGGTTAGCGACCAATTATACCTACGTACTATTAAACTCTGAGAGTTTAAACATTAGCGAATCGAATTCGAAAGGTTTGAAATTTGGAAGAGTTAAAGTTAGTCTTTTTTTTTTCTACTCGTGACTAGACATTTAAGATAAACGAACTGACCGGTGAATAGTAATATTTCGTAGAACGACTACCGTGCGATAGATGACGGTTTAACCCCTTTATGCTCACAGTATTATTTCCTATACAAAATAGTTTCAGACAATTGTTGCGTGGTTTCCTTTCAAGGATTATTCTTCAAAAATTTCATTCTTCAAGAAAAGCCACCTTATCGATGCAGACACGAAGGGGTTAAATTAGGGTAATTACTGTAGACGGTAACGCGTAATACCCTTGTTAACTGGTAACGTATCAGCGAGCACACATTATCACTCACGTGTGACAGTTATCGCAACGACGACGCTTACATTTGTTTTTGCTCCTCTGAACGTGATACAGTCGTTATATATTTAATCGATAGACGTCTTTTGTACATAACGCGTGCGTACGTGCAAAACGAATTGCAAAAAAGAAATTGTGCTGACTGGGAACGAAATAAAGTTGAAACCATCAGCACTCAACAACGAGTGTGCTTCGATTAATTCTTCGCCTGATTAGTCGAAGATCATCCCTTGGCTCAATGACAAACCGTTTCGTGAAAATTCGACCATTCGACCGCTGTTCTTTATTTATGGCATATTTGTAGTGTTATTCATAGATTTTAATTTAAATTCCTTTGCCATAGCTATAATATTGTATATCTAGCGAGAAACTGTCTAACTGTTTCCTTTAATTCCGGCAATACGAGAAAATGTTTCAAACATAACTTGAATAGTTTCGAGATGCGAATATAGCACAAGGAGAATTTTATCTCATCAAAAGTTTCGCAGTGGGAAGTTTCAGAACGTTCAAGTTTGTCGGAGTGCTTCCGTCATGTATATCACGTAAGCTGCCATCATGTAATCGTTAATCGTGCGACGTAACGACCAACCTTGGTAGAATCCTTCGGGGGGTAGCGTCCACGTCGTCAAAAGGTAAGGATAATTCGCAACGAATGCGTAATTGTTACCTACGGAATATCTGAAATACTTATAAATTTACATTGCCAAGCATTTAGAAATTGTTCTAGAAAAAAATGACACTTTTAGTATTTTAAAATATAAACTATTCTCCCTGTAAGATATGGTCACACCTACGCGAAGTGTCCACTGATGAGGACCCTGATAAAAATAGTGCATCTAGGTGCCTGCAATAGCATTCGAGCCACAATATTTTCAGACCGTGGAACATCAGTTCCCTAGAACCACAACACAAAAGTATATTTTAGCTCTCGAATTATATTACTCATATTATTTTTATACGAATCATAATTTAAACCGCCTTAAAAAAAGTACCTGTAATTGCGCCTCTTTCAACTTGTATAATTTGAAGATATCAAGGAGTGATAAGCTAGTAATAATACAGGCACCGAGGAGATAGTATTCATGATGACAGTATATAGAGTAAAGTAAAGCGGCCATGCTAAAAATTCCAAATAGCTCGTCTACACTGTTGAGCCTTCCCTTATTCCTTTTTTCCTCGAGCTCGATAATCACGGGATCGAAAACTGAAATAATAGAAACAATGTCGTTAATACGATAACGTGAAATGCGTAAATTGCGCGTGACTTACCATACTGTTTAATAAATAGTTTATATACGAGAACGAACATGGATCGCGTGCTGATCATCACGATACCGCTGCAGGCGCATACAAAATGGGGAATAAATTGTTGATACTGATCGTAAGAGTGTTTTATCAGACTATAGATGCAGGATCCACATGTTAGTAATAAATACGAGCACGATGAAATTGATTCTAATAACATATCATCGCTTTTATCACAAAATAAGAATAAAAACAGAGGCCAGTCACAACAAAATATTTCTTATTTATCCAACAATCGATATTCAGCATATTAAGAAACAAAATTTTAATTCTAGCTCCATTAACCTACGCAATTGGTGTGAATAGTTCACTGACACGTTAAAACGTGATATTGTTTAGCAACGTTTCGATACCTAACGATACTATTGCTATTAAATTATCGATGTCTCGAAACGTCGATCGAATTGAAACGTGATGAAATGTCTTTTACGTGACAGTTCTGTTGACACGATGCGTCGAAATAAATTTGATAAGCATGCGTTAGGAAAGTGCGAGACTAACTACGAACGTCCGTGATATGACGCTATGCAAAATATATTCCTTCTTGTGTTTTGTAAGTTGATTTGGATGTACATGGTAATAGCAACGGGCAATATCAATGTAACAGTCAATACTACCGAGGGCACTATCAACAATTCTATGTACCGTAACAGTTTCAATAATATTGCAGCGGAATGTACCACTGTGAGTATGAGCAGAGCTTACAATATATACAAGCATTGCAATCAGCAATCTATTCGATAAATAATATCAGTTACAACTTAAGTAGAAATACTATGTACATTAACGTTCATAACCAATTGCTGCTAGAGTTAACGATACAATTGCGGTTTAATTGTTAGTATCACTAAGTAATGTTGTATATTATAGAAAGTTAATTTTTATACTACGGGAACAGCGATAATACTAGAAGAGGATAATTATTTACAACGGAGAATGTTCCCAGCAACAGAATGTACCGATCTGTCCGCGATCCTTGAACAGTTGCGTAACAAGATAACTGTACAGAACAATAAGAAGTCAGTACAAGACAAATTATACAAAAATGACTTAGCTTCCGTTTGTATCGAAGAGACGCCATTTTCCTCGAAGAATAATATCCCTGCCAGGGACCGCGAAGTCAGTTATCCTTATCCTTTCACAGATTATATTCAGCCACATTTCTGTTTCGATTATCCATCCACGAACATTTATAACAAACCACACCATCGACTCGTCAGGAATTTAAAGTCGATAACCAATTATTACGAAATCAATTTGAGACACAATCGCAGAAAATCGAAGAGAGCAAGAAGAACGTCGAACTTATTCTTTCGTGGTAAGAAGAGAAGATCGAGTGGAAATATTTTAACGAATAGGAATCCTACGATGCAACGTTATTGGAACGGTACCGTCTTATTGCCGAGGTTGTTAAAAGTGTCGTGTTTGTTAGACAATGTAAGTAGTACTATCCCATACTCGTCGAATTCCACAAATAAAACTTTAGGTGTTCGTCAAATTTTACGATTGAAACCGATTACTAAACGAGGCACTACTGCTATTAAGAAGAAAAGAAAAAGAACGGACATAGAAGCGACTAGTGAAACGTATACTCCTGGAATAGAGAAAACTGCATATGTAGGCGCACTTGACCTGCTCTTTACAACTGACACGCCAGATATCGAATCTCAGCTACAAACTTATGATACCGATTACCAACATGAAATAGATACTCTACAGACAACACTGAGTTGGTTGGACCAAGTAGCTAGTATATCTCAGCCTTCGAGCACGTCAGAGCCTGAAGAATACACGGAAATGATCGAAACTACAGACGAACTTCATGAAAAACAATACGAAGATGATTATGAAGAAGAATACGATGAGTATGAGCAAAAAGCAACTCGATCGTCACCTGCATGGTACGAATACAAGGATGAGACCTTCACTACCGAATCAAGAATTGAAACAACCGTGCCTCTATTGGCAACAATACCACCAGAGACGACAGTACCAACGACTACCACAATTTCGACTCCATTAACAACAGAATCTACCATGAAAGAAATAATAACAACTACTGTAGCCACACCTGCTGTAATTACTGTGACAACAGAAGCAACTAGTGGAGACACTACGTTAGAACAACATACAACTAAGCTTGCAGAAACAATTGTAGTACAGCCCATTACTGACGAGGTGATTACGACTACCGTACCGATACCAATGACGTCGATAATCACAACAAACACACCGATTTCGGTAACGACTTTGGAGCCCACAGTCACGAGCACAATAGCAGTTACGACCACAACAGAAACTACTACCACAGAAACAACAACAATTTTGGAAAGCACTACAACTACAGCTGCACCACCTATTACTGAAGTACTGACTACAAGTGGTACAACAACATTACCCTCAATGTCAACAACAACGGAAACAACCACTTTCCAAGCAACATTGGAATCCGAAATTACTACCATAGTAACAGGTGCAGCTACAACAGAGACAGCCACAGCGGAACAAACCACACCACAGATTACCACTGAAGGGACAACCATGATAATGACAACCTCAGCAGAGGTAATTACGACTGAGACAACCACTGAACTAACTACAGTGGTTACAACAACCGAACCTGCAACTAGTAGCACAGTGGCAATGACAACTACAGTAGAGACCACCACGGAAGAATCCACTACTGTAGAAACTACTACTGAAGAAGCAATTACGACTGAGACAACCACTGAACTACCTACAGTGGTAACAACAACTGAATCTACATCTGCTACTTCTACCATAGAGACCACCACGGAAGAATCCACTACTGTAGAAGCTACCACTGAAGAAGCAAGTACGACTGAGACCACCACTGAAGTAACTACAGTGGTTACAACAACTGAACCTGCAACTAGTAGCACAGTGGCAATGACAACTACAGTAGAGACCACCACGGAAGAATCAACTACTGTAGAAGCTACCACTGAAGAAGCAAGTACGACTGAGACCACCACTGAAGTAACTACAGTGGTTAGAACAACTGAACCTGCAACTAGTAGTACAGTGGCAATGACAACTACAGTAGAGACCACCACAGAAGAATCCACTACTGTAGAAACTACTACTGAAGAAGCAATTACGACTGAGACAACCACTGAATTAACTACAGTGGCAACAACAACTGAACCTGTAACTACTAGTACAGTGGCAATGACAACTACAGTAGAGACCACCACGGAAGAATCAACTACTGTAGAAGCTACCACTGAAGAAGCAATTACGACGGAGACAACCACTGAACTAACTACAGTGGTTACAACAACTGAACCTGCAACTAGTAGCACAGTGGCAATGACAACTACAGTAGAGACCACCACGAAAGAAACCACTACTGTAGAAGCTACCACTGAAAAAGCAAGTACGACTGAGACAACCACTGAACTAACTACAGTGGCAACAACAACTGAACCTGTAACTACTAGTACAGTGGCAATGACAACTACAGTAGAGACCACCACAGAAGAATCAACTACTGTAGAAGCTACTACTGAAGAAGCAATTACGACTGAGACAACCACTGAACTAACTACAGTGGTTACAACAACCGAACCTGCAACTAGTAGCACAGTGGCAATGACAACTACAGTAGAGACCACCACGGAAGAATCCACTACTGTAGAAACTACTACTGAAGAAGCAATTACGACTGAGACAACCACTGAACTAACTACAGTGGCAACAACAACTGAGCCTGTAACTACTAGTACAGTGGCAATGACAACTACTGTAGAGACCTCCACGGAAGAATCAACTACTGTAGAAGCTACTACTGAAGAAGCAATTACGACTGAGACAACCACTGAACTAACTACAGTGGTTACAACAACCG